TTTTTTTTTTTTTTTTTAATATACTAGGTACTGAGCTCCAGCCATAATGACTGAGCCCAGATCCTCCAGTTTTAAATACTGCCCCTCATGTGAGGCAGCCATGCTTCTTAGTGATGGCATACCATGTTTATTTTGTCTAAGTGAGGGGCATATTGCTGAAGTGCTCAACATATAGATTACTTTCCAAATGAACTCAGAAAGTGAGGAACACTTGCCTGAAACTTTTCTTATAAGACCAGTCCATGAGATATCACTTTGATCCAGGCACTAAGGACCCTCTCAGAATAGAGCATCTTCTTCCAAGAGTGCTCTGGTGAGTTACCCTGGAATTGAGGGGTGTGTTACCCATTATTTGATCAAGCTAATTGTAGCCATATTGTGTGCATTCAGCCACCATGAATTAATAAAATAGAACACCACATAATTAAGGGTTAATTTAGACAAGCAGGGCTTTTGGAGGCAAGGTCAAATATTAGCTGCAGGCTTGCAGTTTCTGCTAATCAGAATGCGAGGAGGGGAGAAAAGAGTCAGCAAATTATGAGACTGAACGAAAATAAGTGGATGGAGACCTTGAGTTTGGGCGCCTTTTGATATAGAAGCTTATTATGGCTAAGATTGTTAGAAATGTTTTGTTGATAAGTAGTTGATTGAAGTTAGGAGAAGTGATGACCCAGTAGGGGTCAGTATGAGCTATGTGTTTTGTAAAAAATAGTTTATAAAAACACTAGATAATAGTGTCAGGTATCAGAGGGGTAGCCGTGTTAGTCTGGATCTGTAAAAAGCAACAGAGAGTCCTGTGGCAGCTTTAAGACTAACAGATGTATTGGAGCATAAGCTTTCGTGGGTGAATACCCACTTCGTCAGACGCATGACGTACCACGCATCTGACGAAGTGTGTATTCACCCACGAAAGCTTATGCTCCAATACATCTGTTAGTCTTAAAGGTGCCACAGGACTCTCTGTAGATAATGTGTGCTTTGGAGCAGTTCTCTTAAGCTGTCCCGAGAGACTTTTCCTGACCCCCATACTCCCCAACTGGGAAGCGACCGGCCATCGCTGGCCTGCTACTAATTACTCAATAACATCTCAGATTTTAGGTTCACCTCTACCCTGATATAACGCTGTCCTCGGGAGCCAAAAAATCTTACCTTGTTATAGGTGAAACCGTGTTATATTGAACTTGCTTTGATCCGCCGGAGCGCTGCTTTACCGCGTTATATCCGAATTTGTGTTATATCGGGTCGCATTATATCGGGGTAGAGGTGTAATTATTGGATGTTCTACACCTATTGCTTATGTCTGTGTGTGCTTAAATCTAATTAATAGTAGTTTTAGATAAGATCATGCTTACTTGTACCAATCTTTCATCAGCCAGAAGCACTGTGTTCCCATTGATTGAATCCTGACATCGCCTGGAGTGAAACAGTTAAGTTACCACAGCTTTGAGTTCTGAAAACCATGGGTAACCAGAGTGAGCTCTGACTCTCTGCTGTAAGCTCCCAAGCATCTTCTTTGTAAAAGACCCCTCAAGTCTTTGACTGGTTTCTGAGAGGTGTAGGACAGAGCGTTGCTCTGCAAAAGAGCACCGGCATAAATCACTTTCCCAGACACCCGATAAAATAAGGAGTTTAAATTCTCACTGACTTTCAATGGGAATTAGGCACCTAACTGATATTTGTGCCTTTGACAATCTCCCCCTATAATGTGCACTGCAAGGCATTCTCCTCTTGGTTTACACTAAGTCAGTAAAACTTTCTTGAGTAATTATTTTGCAACTTCAAGCCAAACAAATGTTTAAGATCAGATGTTTACATATAGATATTGTTCTTGGTACAGTGTCAATTCCTGGGCTCATACTGCCCCAGATATGAGATTTTAGTAGTTTACCACCATCTTCTAGGATAATAATTCTATTTTTGCCCAGTAAAAGTTTGATTACCTTTATAGATTATTGTAATATTAAACTGATTCATCCATACCCATTCAGCTGCTTCTTCTGCTTTCAAGTTCCTGTGGGCATTTCTCTGTGGTGTGCTGCTGTCACGGATCCACAGGCCCGGTGCTCTGGAACAGTCCCTGGGAGGACCCCTTCAGTGTGCCAGACCCACTTTAGGGTCACACTCTCACTAGAGTAAGCCAGTTGGCTTCACTGCCTCCTTAGATCAAACCTTGGAGCATTCAGCACCCTTGCTTCACACTGTGAGCTTCCTCCAGCAAGTCCACATGAGTTGGATACCTAAGAGAGAAACTTGTGCACCCAAAGGGAACAATGTACTCTCCCATCTTAATCTGCAGTGACTCTCAGCCATCGTTGTAAAAGCAGAAGAGTTTATTAGCAGTCTGGAACACAGTGTAGAAAGTCCTTGGTTATCATAGACAGCATAGTTAATCTTGGTCTGTCCCAGAGCCATCTGACCCCTTGTTAGTCCCAGTCCTGGAGCATCCTGCTTCCAACAGCCAACATCCCCACCTGGTCCCTCCTCAGTCCTTTGTTCTTGTTCCCAGGCAAACATTGTCATGCCCTCCTCCTTAACCCTTTGTTTTCCAGCTGGTCAAACCTGGCTGGCTTCCTAAGTAGGGTGGGCCATCCATCGTCATTAATTGCTAGGTGCCAAATGTCTGGGCAATTGGAGTGGCCATTGTCTTCTCGGACTCTCCGTGGTCATGGGGGCCAGGCTGCAGGCAGCTAAGAGTCGGTGAAACCTGTATCTCTGCATCTTTACAAAGGAAAACAACCTTTTCCCACCACCTAGTTAACCAGGCCCCACGCAGGGGAAACTGAGGCACACACAATATTCATACAAAATATTATGAAAAATTCCCACTCAGTCACAGCTACCATTTCTGTTAGCTTTCTTGGCTTGTGTAATCCTGTCAGAATTCTTCACCAATGTATATTTATTCTTCTGGCCACTTTTCACTGCTCTCTTGCGTCTCTTCTCAAAGGTGTACTTATTTAAACAGTTTTAATTTCAGGTTGAATGTCTGCTGCATTATTGCCAGTGTTTTGGCTGAGCCAGCTGGTCTTAGAGCTCCTCCTGCTGGTTAATACTATTATAGTGATTCTAGGTGTCAGAATAAAATTGATTCAATATCTCTAAAGTCTTTTGTGTTTGTTACGTCATACATCAAATATACATATTAAGTATTGCTAGTAACTAGCTAACAGGAATGAGTAAACCAAGTTGGATAAAAGAAAAAACAACTCAAGTTTCTCTCAATATACAAAGTTTGGAAAAGTGTAACTTTTTTTTATGTTGAACTTTGTGTGTTTCTACAGTGTTTTGTCTGTGTTCAGAAGTAGAAATACTTTGAGAGAACTATATGCGCATGGTGTTTCTGTATTAGCTGAAAACCGAATGTACTGAAAATATCAAATTTGTGCAAGACAGTTTTTATCATGGGTATATAATGACATGTCACCAAAAAGTGATAATTTTTTAAATGACTACTTGACTATAGTATTTTCTCTGTATAGTACGTACACATTACAATTAGGAACAGTTATCCATTGCCAGTTGTATAAATGCAGTTAGAATCATACACTTGGGATGTTATCATAACTTCATTTACTGTTCAGTTACACAGTTTTCCCCTGGATTGTTCTTATCCCTAAATGGCTAAGCCATTGTGAAACAGAGTATTTTATGTTCAGAAGTCATGAAAATAAAAATTTCCAGCATACCTAGAATAACCAAAATTTTCTGTTCTGTAATAGCTCCTGTGGGTATCACAGACCAAAGTCTGCTAAGGGATTTTTCTGCTACCACAGTGGGACCTGCTGGTGTTATGGTCTTTGACGGTGAAGCTGTTGGCCAGACCAAGTTAAAAAATGGCGAAGGTAGAGATGAGGATGGAAGCCCAACTAAAATTCCACAACTGGAATTAACCCAGGATGAAAAGGTATGATGGATTGTAACAATAAAAATAACTCTTAACAAACATTTAAAGTGGAGTTGTATGTCTTTTTAAAAATAACAAGCAGCATACTAGAAGATATTGTTAATAAATTATTGCAAACTCCTCCTTTATGTTTAACCAGCGTATTTTATATAACCAAAAGGGAGGAACAAATTGCAAATTTGCATGTGTGACATTCAATGTTGTGATTTTTTTTCTTTTAATTGTTGCTACAAGTTAATTTTAATTTGCCATAATTAGGCACTACTTAAACACTTCCGTATATAATTGTTCAAATTGAACTTTCTCTTAACTTACTTTAAGCTACAGTTAGCTAGTTTATATAATTTTTACTATGAACAAACTTCTAAAAATTGTGCTAGTATATCTGGTATCATACACAACCTGTTGTTTGGTTGTGTATATTTTGTCTTTTTCAAGTAAATTTCAATGCTTAACATGGTGCTTGCTTTATTTGCCAACTGCAAAAATCTTTTAAGCTGTTCCTTTTATACATCAGTTATAGAAACACATTAACTTATTAAAAGAATTTCCATGTAGAACTGATACACAGCTTTCCAGGGAAAGTTCAGTTTGTTGATGGTGGAGAAACTGTAATGCAAGTGGCAATCTACTTGTCTTATTTATTGGCGTTAGCGAGGAAGCAGATCATAAACTTTAATTTGGATTTTATTTTATATGCTTTCACATCAATATTTGTGGCAACACCTCTTTCCAAAATGTAAGCTCAAGCTTTGGAGTTCAGAAATAGTTCCAGTTATAGAAATGTGTTTCTATAACTGGAAAAGCTCAATGGTTTGAGAAGGGCTTGCATGTTTTATGAAGCTATTCAGTGTAGCTTGCTACATGTATGAGCTCTGTATACCTGTTTTTCCTAGCAGACATCCAGAAATTTCCGTTGCTCTCGGGTTTTTAAAAAACCTTAAGGAATTTTCATTTTGAAAACTGCATTTTTGTGAATTAGGCAAAGGGTACCCAAATCACTGCCCAGGGCACAACATTTGGGCTGTTGAGTCTCCCAATGCAGCTTACAGCACAGCCCCCCTCATCCTATAACTGCAATGTGAGACCAAACATGAACAGCCTCATGTTTTTATTGCCAGGGAACTTAAACAACCGACTTCTAGTCAGTCAAGGAAAAACACACAGTTCTACATTTGATGAAAACATGTATTTAGGTAAATTAATATGCAAATTTTGGCTCCTGGCAAGATATCAATGTGGTCCCTCAGAGTCACAAAGCTGGGGCACCCTAGGATAGATTACGCAACCAAGAAAGATTCTCCAGCCATGGGATGGAAAAGCTCAACGGTTTAGGAAGGGCTTGCATGTTTTATGAAGCTATTCAGTGTAGCTTGCTACATGTATGAGCTCTGCAAATAGCATTTTCTAAATACTATTTATTTCTTTTTTTGCTGTTTTTAAATTCCAGAGGAAATGGTAGTAAATCCTAGGATCAAAGTGCCTGCTTGTCTTTTCTACATGCTGCTGTATACCATGAACTTTTTAATGTTTGTTTGCTCCCATCAGTTGTGACTGCACTTACTACCGTTCAAAAGTGCAGTTTGTCACAACCTTAAAACAAAAAATCTGTAATGGGTTCAGATTCAGAATTCTTAAAACTGGACAAGTGGGCTAATTTTTAAAAATACATGGGGCTTTTCAATTTTTATTTGGCTTTTATATTGCATTCGTAGTGCTGGCTCTACTTCTGAGTAAAAGGTTTCACTAACTAACAATTTCTTTTTTCCCCCTCTTCTTGTGCATTCTTTCTGCCTACAAACTTACATTGTGTTGTGTTTTCGTATTCAACTGTGCCTGGACTTTTTTTTCAGTCCCTTCACATGTATCCACCATCACCACCCCTTCACTGTGTTTCATCCTGTCCCACAAACCTGGCAACTATCCCTGAGATGGACATGCTTTTGGACATTTCAGAGGAAGATCCCTTTCAGGAATATGTCCATAGCCTCTCAGACTGCTGGGAGTGCAGTCCCATGAGAGTAATACCAACTCACAGTGGAAATGAAGAGACATTGCCTAATAATATCTTGGAGCCTATGAGACCCCCAGTTAGTCCCCATTCTTCTCCTGCAGTAGAGGGAAAGCCCCATAAAACAGTTGACTACAAAGATACTGAGTTTAGTATTTCATTAAGCTTTAGCAAACTCTTTGCTTCTAATTTCCTTTCACTGCTTGATGAGGATGGCTACATCAGTTTTCCTAGCCTCCCTGAGGTTTGCATCTCCTACCTCCCACCTGGTCTTCAACACTATGTTCCTATCACCTCTCCCTCATTCATTCCCTCTTTTCTCCTTATCTTTGTGCTGCTTCTCTCTGCTTTTCAGTCTGTTCCTTTCTCACTCACATTTTCCCTTCCTCTCGCTCTGTCCCTCTGCTACCTGGAGCCTAAGGCGACTTCATTGAGCGCCTCTTATGACAATGACCTGAATGACAAAGCAGAGGAAGAGGAGGTGTGTAACTTTGTCACTTAAATGCTGCCACCTGCACATGGACTTTGCATCTGCACACTGAGGAGCACTCAACCTTGCACACGTCCTAGTGTACAATATAAATGTCTTTGTGATGGTTCTCATTCATGGTAACTTGCCACTGATATACTGAGGTTCTCTAAATAAATAAATGTCTGTTTTTTTTCAGTGTGTTGCAACATACATAATTTTGATTATATCCCCTGGGTGCTGTATCTAAGGAGGAAATTTTTTTTGTAATTGAAAAGATTTGAGCACATTATTATTATTTTTATTAGACCTATTTTGGAATAAGATTAATAATCAGTAGAATTATTGAGCAACATTCCTCTGTTATACTAATTGTTAAATCAGTCATAAACTATTGCCCTTCTCAGTCTATTAACTTTGAAATACAAACATGGAGCTGAATCTCAGCGGTTCTCTTTAAATCTGTAAAGTAAAAATCTCTTATTTTAGTTCAGCAAACTGTGAAAGCTGTAAACAGTGTTCCTTCTTATAGTCGTATCCCTGTGGATGCTCCACTTCAGGTGGTGCACATGTGCCTCTTGAACCCTTGATCATAGATTTCTAGCTAGCACTGTCCATTCAGCCCATGCATGTGCCCTGTGCCTTTCCATGGCAGACACCAGGCTGTATAGGGGTGCACTAAGGGTGGACAAATCGCCCTTAGTTTCTCCTCTACTGCCTTGGCCCGAGACAGAACACTGTCCTCCTACAGCGTTCTTGGCCTTTTCTCTTTCTTAAAGTTAGTTACTTTATAGTTGTAGGTTTCTGTTTAGTGTTCAGTATAATTAGTTAGTTTTAGCTGAGAAGACTGTTTGTTTGTTTTTTTCCCCTCCCTTTTATCCCGGGATATTTGTCTTCTCCTGGCGGGGTATGCCTGGTTTGTCATGCTTCGAACGTCACCACTCTTGCTGGGAGGCTAAACTGATAAGCGACAGGCACTCCCAAGTGCATCCGTTGCCTGGGGGAGTCCCACATCTCTCAGAAGCGTTCCTTCTGTTTGGCCCTTAAGTCCAGGGCTAGGAAGAGCAGGGAGATAAAGCTCAGACTGTTGGCTCAGACGTTCCCTGCAACCGCTCTGTAAGCCAGGTCAGGAGACACGCCACACCGCCCCATATATCTGTCCCCAGACAGATCCAGTGCCCCATCAGATTCGGGGCATGCTTCCCCCAAGGAAGGGATATCTTTGGATGCTGTGAAGACTCCCAAAAAGAGGAGTGCAGATTTTTTCTAACGAGCCAGCTTCAAAAAAGACCAGGTCCCTGTCAAGGTCCTCAGTGTCTGATGTTACCGTTGAGGCCAAGGACTCGTCCTTGGGTACTGCGAAGCCGGGAGCTCTAAGGACAGGAGGCACAGCTCTGTTAGTGCACTGTACCCTCCACCAGTAAGGATGGTAAGCTCAAGGTACCATCGAACTCAGCACTGTCATCAGCACCAAAGCATTCTACTGAGCTGTTGATGTTGTGCACCTTAATCCAGCCGTTGGTACCAATGCAAACAGCTCAGCTGGGGGTATCTATACAAGTGGTACCCTCTGTACTGAGCAAGCATCAGTGCCTGATATCTACAACATTTGAGTTCACTCATCATTGTTGGCACCATCACCTCCAGCTATGGCATCCAGTACCACAGGAGTTCTGATACCTGAGGGACCTCTGTGTCGGACGAACCAGAATCTCTGTTGTTGTCTGGTACCGCCTGTCTCACAATACTGAGACCTCGGTCTTTGTGTGGCCTCTCTGTGACACAGGACTCTCCTCATCTACATTGGATGTCCCCCATGGGAGGATGCAGAGGAGGACGACTCCCAATCGAGCTCCTCAGTTTCTGCCAGGAGTTCTCTTATGTACCCCTTTGGGAAACCGCCCTCGCACAGAGAGGACCTTGTGTGACACCAAGGATGGTGGAACCAACCTTGTATGCCACCCCTGTTCCTTATGTAGTTGGCCATACTGTGATGTGTGGCCTGCCTATCACCAGCAATTTAACAATCCACAAATACCTTCTCTCAGGGAGACCAGGGTTTCACGTCATCCTGTACCCCATGACAGGAGGAGATGTTTGAAGAGGAGGAGGCTAGGGCAAATGAGGAAGTTACCCCTGAGATTCCCATTTCACCGTCATTGCCGAAAGAAGCAGTTATGCCTCCACCACCTTCCATGGGTGACAACTTCAGACAATTTCAGGACTTAATTAGAAGGGTAGTTGACACCTTCCAGATCTCTCTGGAGGAGGTAAAAAATCCACTGCACAAGCTGCTAGATATTTTGCACTCAGCGACACCCTCCAGACCAGCACTACCTGTTAATGAGGCTCTCCTGGTTCCAGCTAAGACGGTATGGCAGACACTGACCACTGTTCCACCAATACGCAAAAGGGCGGATAAGAAATATTATGTGCCCCTTAAGGATTCAGACTTTTATTTTCCTATCCCCCACCTAACTTATGTGGTCATGGCCAAATACAGCCTTACTAATTACAACAAGTTCACGGCATTTATTGAGTATCTGCCACACAACTGCAGGGAGGAATTCCAGTCCATAGTTGCGGAGAGTGAGCTATTGGCCAGAACAGCTCTCCAAGAGTCCCTAGACTCTCAGACACTGCTGCCAGATCCATCTCCATAGCAGTAGCTGTGCACAGGACATCATGACTCGAACTTTCAGGGTTTCTGGTAGAGGTTCAGAACACTGTAGAGGATCTCCCCTTTGATGTTCATAAGCTTTTCTCATACACCACGAATGACTCTCTGCACACGCTGAAGAAATCCAGGGCTACCCTGTGTTCCTTGGGCATTTACATACCTTATGAGCAAGAAACATTTTAATAGGGCACAGACTCGTCAGACATCATGCCATGCTCAGTTCTTGGGGTACCGCAGACCTGCAGAACTCCCCAGAAAGAGAGATGGGTTTAAAGGAAGAGGGCCACCCAACCACCCTTCATGACCACCCAAGCATCATCTAAATAGTAGTTTTGATGAGTTGAGAGTTTGAATCCTCCCGCTCCTCTGATTTTTACAGTTGTGTCCTTTAACCTTCTCTTTGTAGACTGTCTTGTCCATTTCCACCAGGCTTTGGAGTGAATCACCAGTGGCTCTTGGAGGTCATAGGCTATGCCATGCAGTTTCTGGCACTTCTTCCCTTCCACCCCCTTCCCTGTCCCTCTTCAGGGACCCCTCTCACAAACTTCTACTAAGGCAAGAGGTGGAGACTGTCTTCCGACTAGGAGCAATGGAAGTGGTCCCTTCCACTTACAGGGGCAGGGAGTTCTACTCAAAATACTTCCTAGTACCAAAGAAGGATGGAGGTTGGAGGCCGATCTTAGATCTGAGACAGCTGAACAAGTTTGTGACACCTCAAAAGTTCAGGATGGTGACTTTAGCAACTATAAATCCTTCACTAGAGGAAGCAACAGAGGGTCCTGTGGCACCTTTAAGACTAACAGAAGTATTGGAGCATACTGACGCATCTGATGAAGAGGGCATTCACCCACAAAAGCTTATGCTCGAATACTTCTGTTAGTCTTAAAGGTGCCACAGGACCCTCTGTTGCTTTTTACAGATTCAGACTAACACGGCTACCCCTCTGATACTTGTCATTAGAGGAAGGGGATTGGTTTTCATCCCTTGGCTGACAAGATGCCTACTTCCATATAACTATACGGTCATCACACAGCAGAGATGACCCATGCCTGCTGATTGGAGGGCGGGGAAGCAGAGTGAAGGCAGCTGGCTTCAGCAGTGCTACTGAGCATGCTTAGTCCATGTGAGCATTCTCAGTACAAGGCAAGCAGCAAATCGGGGGGAGGAGGGGTGTTGTGACCCCCACATACTTCATTTCCCCCACCACCACCACATGTCACCTCTGTCACACAGGAAATACCTACGATTCACCATAGTCCAAGATCATTTCCAGTATGGAGTGTATCCCTTTGGCCTACCCTCATCTCCAAAGGGATTTTCAAAGGTTCTGGTGGTAGTGGTGGCTTACCCTTGGCAGGAAGCGATTCTTGTCCTCCCATACCTTGATGACTGGCTACTCAAGGGCCATTCTTTCAAGGCAGTGTTATCATCCACCCAGAAGGTGCTTGCTCTGTTCAAAGAGTTGGGCCTACAACTGAATATAAAGAAATCTACACTGTTATCAGTACAAAGGATGCAGATTATAGGGGCGTTCTTGGACTCAGTGACAGCCAAAGCGCACTGCTCTTTAGACAGATTTCTGGCCATGTCAAGACTGTCAGGGACAATTCAGGGAAGCTCACAACCACAATAAGGAACTGTCTTCAACTTTGGGCCATATGGCAAATTGCACCTTGTGACCAATCATGCAAGGCTATGCTTCCACGGCTTCCAGGATTGACTAAGAGCTGTCTCTTCTCCAACCAGGTACACCTTGGATGGGAGGGTAACAATCTCCTTGCACATAAAGAACTCACTAAACTGGTGGAAGGAGCATGTCTGTGCAGGCATCCCTTTCTGTTGCCCAACCCCATCAGTGACTCTAAGAACCAGTTCATCCAGAACAGTTCACCCAGAACTCCACTGGCCATCACCTACAGTCCTCAGCTTAAACCTCTCCAACGCATCATCAGTGATCTACAACCCATCCTGGACAATGATCCCTCACTTTCACAGACCTTGGGAGGCAGGCCAGTCCTCACCCACAGACAACCCGCCAACCTTAAGCATATTCTCACCAGCAACCACGCACCGCACCATAACTCTAACTCAGGAACCAACCCATGCAACAAACCTCAATGCCAACTCTGCCCACATATCTACACCAGCAACACCATCACAGGACCTAACCAGATCAGCTTCAACCTCACCGGCTCCATGTGCATTCAGAGAGATTGCAGGCAACATCTACTGCATTTTTGAAGAATATCCCAGTATATGAGATTTGTAGAGCCACTACGTGAACTTCAATCTATAGGTTTTTCAAAGCATTATGCCCTGCTCCATGCCATCAGATCCGATGCGACACATAAGAACAGCTGTACTGGGTCAGACCAAAAGTCCATCTAGCCCAGTATCCTGTTTTCCAACAGTGGTCAATGCCAGGTGCCCCAGAGGGAACAAACAGAAGAGGTAATCGTCAAGTGATCCAACTGCTGTCGCCCATTCCCAGCTTCTGGCAAACAGAGGCTAGGGGCATCATCCCTGCCCATCCTGGCTAATAGTCATTGATGGACCTATCCTCCATGAACTTATCCAGTTCTTTTTTTTAACCCTGTTATAGTCTTGGCCTTCACAACATCCTCTGGAAAGGAGGTTCACGACATCCTCTGGTAAGGAGGACGCAGTATTGTTGTTCAGTTCTGAGCCATGGTCCAAAGCCGCCCTCCTAGGGATACTGCTCAGAAGTCATTTGAAGTGGAGCACTCATAGGGACACTACTCAAAGAAGAAGAAAATGTTACTCATCCTGTGCAGGAACTGCACTTCTTACAGTGCTAAGATGTCCTATGGGTGCTTCATTACTCACCCTCCTTCTCCTCTGCTTTGGTTGTTCCCTAGGGGATGAGTAAGTAGAGGAGGAGCTGAGGGCATTTTGCCTCCACACCTCTATATAGCCTCAGTGTCTGCCATGAGAAGGCATAGGGCATGCACACGAGCTAAACGGACACTGCTAGCTAAAAATCACCGATCAAGGGCTTGAGGCACATGAGCACCTGAAATGGAGCACCCATATGGGAACACATCTCAAAGAACTACAGTTACTGCACGGGGTGAGTAACATTTCCTTTTTTTTGTAATTCATGCCTTCAAAGAGGGCACTAGAATTATGGCTGTTTCTGCTTTACATGGGTGTGTGCAAAGTTGAGTGTCTGTCCAAGGTTCTCCCTGGCTTTTAGTGTTTTTATTCATATTTAGCAATAGTTAAGGTGAAGACTAGTTTCTTTTATTCAACTGGATTGCCGGTTAAGTAGCTGACTTTTTAATCATCAACATGTGAACATTTTAAAAATGTTAAAGTATGTAGTTTTAAAGTTGCTATGCAAAAGCATCAGTCTCATTAAGTGTGTGCACTCTGAACATCTGATCTGGCTGATAATTCAGTGCCTGTTCTCCGTATGGCTGCTGCATGTGATAGCAAATACACCATGCACTGTAAAAGGGGAGAATTTACTATGAACTTCAATGGCAATATGAAGCAAAATACTATAGCCTTATAACTGAGAGCCTTGAAATGAGTGAGTCCAGTATTTATTTCAAATTTTGTAGTAATTCAAAAATAACTGAGACAGTGTTGTATATAGCAGAGTACTTTCTCTTAGATATGTGACATGACCTCTGTAAAAGACATTATATATATATAGAGAGAGAGAGAGAGAGAGAGAGAGAGAGAGTGTAAAGGAAGTCTAAAATGGTGTAAATAAACATCACTAAAGATTTTCTCCATCCATAATATAGTTCAACATACCTTTTGATGTGAAATTGCAACAAATGCACTAACCTCAAATAAGTGAGAGGTGAAGGAAAATGTGATAAACTAAGAAAAAAATGACATACGATGTGATGTATTCCCTCACGCAAAGTTTGGAATTAAGCAATATATGTAATAAAAGTAAACCACTTATCAATACTTGCGATCTTGCACAGTGATCCTTTGAAAACCTGGCAATTGATGTTTGTGCCTCAGGGTATTTTCAAAAAATAATTTCTCTCCTTAAAGTTGCATTCAGAATACTTATAAGCAGGATGTAATATTTTTTTTTAAGTTATCTCATATTTTGCATTAAAAAAAGCAAAAATCTTCATGTTTCCCACACAGTATCAGGCATTTACAGTAATCATTTGCCATTTTACCAAAACCAATTCATAGTATAAACTCCACTTTAAATGCTTTTATAAAGTATCTCCGTAATTGAATTTGACATCAAGCTTTGGGGCAATATGGCTTTTCTCCTTCTCCTCTGTCTTAATTTTCCACCCTTCAATGGGGAAAGCATGAAAAATGCAGCAACAGAGAGATGGGGGGAGAGAGAGAGAGAGAAACTTCCATTTTCCATTTCATATATGCCAAATATTACTTCAGCCATATCTACAACACTGTAGGTGGAGGAAGACCAAAGTGGCTTAATAATTTCAGCAGCGTCTGTGGCCGAAACAATAAAGGTATATAAACATAGCACATGATTTGCAGCTTTTACAAACAAAGGAAGCCTCTCTGTTGCTCCCATAGATCACACTAACAACTCCTTTCTTTTGATGATTTGCCATGTGCCTTCATGTAGGTGGAAACCGGAGAGGAGGAAACGCAGCAGCAGGTCGATGCTATTTTTCAGTTAAATCTGGTTATTGTTGCCTGCCGTTGTTAGTGTTTTGAAGCTTCTGTAGGTTTTGTCTGAATAGTGGCTTTTGTTCTTACCATTTATCCCCCTGTTTATTTTTTAAACTCTGTTATCGATCTGAGGGTCCTTTTTGATTACTTGCTGATACATTTTATGTTCATTTTGCTTTCTTGTGTGTGTGTGTGGTTTAATTTCACAGAACAATTCCTTGAGAGTAAACGGGGAAAATATTTATGTCAGACATAGCAATTTAATGTTGGAGGTTTGTATAACATAAGGAACACTTTCTGTTCTCATGGGCTGCCAGGCTGCATGGGATGGGAGGTCACCTGCAGGCTGTTATGGACACAGTGCATGAAATGCATGGGGAAATGCAACTTGGAGATGCATGTTGTAAATTCTAGTTTTTCCATAAAGGAACAGCTTGTAAGTGTGAATCTGCTAGAAGTTTTCAAAGTGGCAATTGGGAATAATAGCCCTGTTTAGGTAATAAATCAAATTCATTGGTCCATTAATTACCCTAAAATGGGATTTTTACTTGCCACACAAACCTACTACTTAATGTGTACCTCATGTAGGCTGTAGTTTAAGGCTCTCACTTAATATTTTTCATTTTCTTTTCTGACACATGTGTACTTGAAATGTGAGCTGGTGTGCTCTGGAGGAATAAGCATAGATTCGTAGATTCCAAGGGCAGGTGGGACCATTGTGATAAACTAGTCTGACCTCCTGTATAAGACCTGCCATGGAACCTCTCCAACATAATTCCTAGATCATATCTTTTAGAAAAATATTTGATCTTGATTTAAAAATTGTCTGTGATAGAGAATCCACCACAACCCAGGGCAAAATGTTCCAATGCTTAACTGGGGAAAGCAGTGGATGTGTTATTCCTTGACTTTAGCAAAGCTTTTGATACGGTCTCCCACAGTATTCTTGCTGCCAAGTTAAAGAAGTATGGGCTGGATGAATGGACTGTAAGGTGGATAGAAAGCTGGCTAGATCGTCGGGCTCAACGGGTAGTGATCAGTGGCTCCATGTCTAGTTGGCAGCCGGTTTCAAGCGGAGTGCCCCAAGGGTCGGTCCTGGGGCCAGTTTTGTTTAATATCTTTATTAATGATCTGGAGGATGGTGTGGACTGCACTCTCAGCAAGTTTGCAGATGACACTAAACTGGGAGGCATGGTAGATATGCTGGAGGGTAGGGATCAGATACAGAGGGACCTAGACAAATTAGAGGATTGGGTCAAAAAAAAACCTGATGAGGTTCAACAAGGACAAGTGCAGAGTCCTGCACTTAGGACGGAAGAATCCTATGCACTGCTACAGACTAGGGACTGAATGGCTAGGTAGCAGTTCTGCAGAAAAGGACCTAGGGGTCACAGTGGACAAGAACCTGGATATGAGTCAACAGTGTGCTCTTCTTGCCAAGAAGGCTAATGGCATCTTGGGCTGTATAAGTAGGGGCATTGCCAGCAGATCGAGGAACGTGATCGTTCCCCTTTATTCGACATTGGTGAGGCCTCATCTGGAGTACTGTGTCCAGTTTTGGGCCCCACACTACAAGAAGGATGTGGAAATATTGGAAAGAGTCCAGCGGAGGGCAACAAAAATGATTAGGGGTCTGGAGCTCATGACTTATGAGGAGAGTCTGAGGGAACTGGGATTGTTTAGTCTCCAGAAGAGAAGAATGAGGGGGGATTTGATAGCTACTTTCAACTACCTGAGGGGGGGGTTCCAAAGAGGATGGAGCTCAGCTGTTCTCAGTGGTGGCAGATGACAGAACAAGGAGCAATGGTCTCAAGTTGCAGTGGGGGAGGTCTAGGTTGGATATTAGGAAACACTATTTCACTAGGAGGGTGGTGAAGCACTGGAATGCTTTACCTAGGGAGGTGGTGGAATCTCCTTCCTTGGAGGTTTTAAAGGCCCGGCTTGACAAAGCCCTGGCTGGGATGATTTAGTTGGGAACTGGTCCTGCTTTGAGCAGGGGGTTGGACTAGACGACCTCCTGAGGTCCCTTCCAACCCTGATATTGTATTCTAACTACCCTCGCTGTTACAAATTTACTCACAATGAGGGAAGTCCCATAATCTTGAATTTCTAATCCTGGCTCTGCCAGTGACCCGCTGTGTGGCTTTAGGCAAATCACTTAAAATCCTGTTTTAGTATTCCCATTTTTTGAAATGTGAATAATTCTTATTTTCTAAAGAGTTAATTCTTAGTGAGGATTAATGTTTGTAAATGGCTTTGAATTTGGAGCACTATTTAAGTATGGTTATTATTTATTATTGGAGTAGAGACATTTTTTTTTAATAAATAATTAGTTTGTACAGTTCATTCATTCTGGAATATATTATGGCAGTACCACTTGTTGCAGTCAGTATAGTTTGTATGGTAATGAATAACTGAAAGTAAACTAACAAAACTTGCACAAAATATATAGAAAAATCCTATCCTATGTCTATTTAGCCTTGCCCATCCAAATGGGGCTATAGGGAATTCCCTCTGTCACGAAAGAGCTTATCTCTTATTTAATGACTGTAGTATTCATACAGTAATATGAAGATTTGTAGATTACAGTAACTTGACTAATCTGTTGTTGCTTTTGGCAGCTTTTGATAACTGTTCAAAATTTATTTTTGCATAATTTACTAAAACAACGAAAGCATGTTCTTCATAACCTTGCTTTGAACAAGTCCAAGAAATGTGCCTAGTTTCTCAAGCCACAATAATTGTTTACAACAACCCATAAAAATATGTCATTGGCTTCAGTTGTTTAATATCACTGCCGTTCTATGGAATTGCTGTGGTATAACCTGTGTTTTTTATATTCCACCAATAATTAAGAAAACTTCTTTTTGTTTAAACCAAACAGCTTTTTAAAAAAATCTAGAAATAGATGCATCCAGGATCCAGGCCTAAATTTTCAGTATCAAATTTATTTTTTACAGGTTTACTTCAGAATTGACAATGAAACAAAGTAGAAGCTGATTAGTCAGTATCATTTTCTGATTTTCATGCACTAGTACAGTTCTGTGTTATTTGTGTTGTAAACACTGCAGAGGTACAACGAGGAGTCCAGTGGCACCTTAAAGACTAACAGATTTATTTGGGCAAAAGCTTTCATGGGTAAAAAACCCACTTCTTCAGATGCATGGAGTGAAAATTACAGAAAAAGTGTTAACTCCCTTCTCTTTATGTGCCAATATATATTTATGCCTGTCTCTGTAATTTTCACTCAATGCATCTGAAGAAGTGGGTTTTTTTACACATGAAAGCTTAAGCCCAAATAAATCTGTTAGTCTTTAAGGTGCCACCAGACTCCTTGTTGTTTTTGTGGATACAGACTAACACGGCTACCCCTCTGATACTGCAGAGGAACACTTCCAAATCCTAGCCAAAATGTTTTAGTAAAAATTCAGACACATGTGTTTTAAGTAGCTACATAACGCATTTTTTAATGAAAACTAAATCTTGGGCCTAAATTATTAAATATTATCAAAAGTCCAAATTCTTTTCTTAGTTACTGTAGGTACTTTGATTTCATAGTACACTTATTTTTGGGTCTCAATTCTAAACTTAATTGCTGGCTGTTGAACTCGTAAAGTCAACTGCTCCGATGTCTGTGTTTGCATACACAGAGTAGTTTTTTTCACAAGATGAGGAATGGTATGAAGTGAAAGATTATGCTTGCTGTATGTAATTTGCTCCTCCTGCATAAAGCCCAAGTGTTTAGGTTATATGCAAGTGAAGTTTCAGAAATGTTGGGGAGCTGAACTCTACTTCCCAAACCAGGGCTAATGAGGAGGTTGCTGCATAGTCCCAATCCCCAGGCCTGTTCCTCCACCTTGTAGCCTGGAAGAGCAGTTATAGCCCTTTGATCCAAGTTGCACAATGTTAGGGTCAATGGATCCTTGTAAAAAACAGAATCTGTTACGTACTTAGCGCTCATTGTCACCACCTGTGCTAGTCTGCATGGGCTAGCTCAGAGACCCTTTTTTGTATGTAGATGTGCACAGGCTATCTCTACATGGTTGTTCCATCTGCCATCGCTTCAACACACAAAAGGTTAATAGCAATCTTAAACCCTGATCCTGCACATAATTATGTTCCTGCTTAACTTTATAAGCAATGAATAGCATTGCCTTTAATGGGACTACTCATGTGTGTAAAGCTGAAGCATATGCATATCTGTTTGCATGATTTGGACTTAATACAGTATCCATATTTATAAGTCCTTTATTTTTGGCTTAAAGTTTCTTATTAGGAAACATACTTACATGTTTATGACAGTTCTTGTGTTGAGCGCTATTTACTTCCATTAGCATTATTGAGGGTTACCTATGTTGATCTTGGTATTCTTGCTTCAGTTTCTTTAACTTTCAAGCAAAAGCCAGCAACCTTTTGAAATAATTATTTCAAAAATTTGGTATCTTCATATTGAGATAAAAATATTCCTTTGTTTACTGATAATTAAAAGTGGTTTTTTTTCCTATACATACAGTTGTGACAGGAACATTATAGTGTGGCCTTGTTCCTAAAAGGTAATACAAATCTGAGTCTTTTATGGTCTTAATCTTTTTTAAAAATGTACCACAGTAGAATGGCTCTTGAGACAAGGCACTTTTCTTGCTTTGACTTTTTTGAGAATAAGTTTGCTTTTGCTGTTGTGTTTTGTCCTACTGTTTTTCACATTGCACATTGCTAGGACCTGGATAAGACCCAGGACGACTTACTGAAACATCAGGCTAGCATTAGTGAACTCAAGCGCAATTTCATGGAATCCACACCTGAGCCACGCCCCAATGAATGGGAAAAGCGGCGTATCACACCTCTGTCTCTACAGACACAAGGGGTATGTCATTGCAGACACTTGTCAGCATGCATTTCTGTACAACTATTTAGAAAATATAATAAATGTAAATTGCCCTCCTATATTAACATTTTCTTTTGTTTGACTGTAACATTTTTCTTTATACTAAATACTCATTAACATTTTGTTACTTACTTTTGGTCCAGTCTTTAAATAACTTTGTTTGAGTTTCAGTATGAGAGCGTAACTCAGAGCACAGCAGTTGAAACAAGGATTGGGCTTTATTCTGGTTTAGGACTGCTGTTCTTACAAATTGGTTTTACAGCAGCTGTAAAATTGTGAGGAAAAAAGTTTCCATCCTTAACTCTGCTTAGGCAGTTACATGTAAACAGCTCTTAAGCTCATGTTTAAACTTGGTTCCGTAAGAACATACATGATAAAATATTTGATAATGTCAAGCGTTTTTCAGGCAGTAGTATGGCATAGCTGTTAAGCTGTATTCACTTTTTAAGACCACTCGGGCTTATGGCTAACTTTTTTTTTTTTAAAACTATAAAAAAGATTGAGAAGGTTTTCATGTCTCTTGATAGACAGCACCTTGAACCAGCAATTTAGAAAGCATTGTTTCCAAAAACTACTACATGTTTTTGGTCAGAGAACTAGACACACAAGTTGCTGTTATGGTTCAAAAATGCTTAGTGATTTTACAACACTTTAAATCTGCTTCTGATTTTATAAAGACTAAATAGCTGCTCACAAGCATCTATCAATCTGTCTCTGGACCTGACCTCATTTTCCCTCTGATAAGTGAGTGTGCTATCCTGACTATTGCTCCAGGAAGATTAATGGTTCTTGAGACTACAAGATATGGGAACTTTTTAAAATTCCCACTGGTGAAATTTGCCAAATACTGTCAAATGATTTTTTTTTTTTTTTCATATTAAGGCCCCAACTCAGCAAGGTACTATTAATTTTAAGCACATGAGAAGTCCTGGTAAAATCAATGGACTACTCATATGCTTAAATATCTTGCTGAATTGGGTCCTTGGTTGCTCACTTGAAAAAAATCTCCAACAGATCATTAGCAGACTGCTTAACTTAATTTTTTAAGTTGTTGGCCTACATGGTCACTGCCAGGATATGGTTACTCAGACTTTACAACATCACAATATACTTGTAAACAAAAATTATAGCCTCCTTTATGATATTCCAGAAATGTGGATGGATTTATTGTCAGTATTTTGCTGATAAATATACTTGCTCCAATATAAAAGGGACTACATATAATATATCAGAGTGGCTTATTTTATTTTGTGTTTGTGTGTGTATGTGTTTTTGTGTCAAATTAATTTATATTAAGGAGGAGGTAAATACAGGTATTACATGTTCCTCTATCTGCATATTCCTGCTACCTGGTATGCTTGTGCTTCTTTCAGGACAATTTGTTTTCATGTTTTGTATGATGATGTACGTCCGTCTCATTATTTGTTGATTTATGTTGGTTTTATAAAACCAAAAACTTCCAAACACTTAATAGAAAAAAGGAGACCACATTTTCCAAAGGAAAAAATTGCCTGTGAAGGAGAAGCAATGGACTGCAGTGACATGGATTACTGAGGCAAAAACAGAAGAAACTATCCAGGTGGCTACCTTCAAACCTTTGGCGGATTTTTTGAAAGCTTTGTTGTGTTACCTGAGTTAACTAGATCACTTTTTAAAAAAGGTTTTTTATTGGTTTAAACACAACTTTGAGATGATGTTTAAGATCTCCATATAGATCAGTGTTGGTTAAACAAAGGTGTCGATCTCTGCTGTCAAACTGGCTTTGAAGTTCTAAATAATTAATACTTTTTTAAAAGGCAACAATATAATACACTGATTTTCTTATCACTGAAAACATTGTGGTATCTTTATTTGTTTAGGGTAACAGAGAAACATGCATTTCCATACCAAAATGCACTTTCTGTAATTGTTCAACACTCTACAGGGAATAAATCACAGTTCTGTGACTACTGCAGCTGTTCTGCAAATCAATGATGCTGGGGAAATAGGTTCATTCTGAATACTCCCCTAGATTTAAATGTGTGTTCACCTCTCTGCCTGTTTGCCCATATGTAAAATGAGAAAAATGATTCTTTAAGTGCATTGAAATCTATTGATGAAAAGTTCTATACAAGAGCTAAGTATTATTTATTATTATTATTATGAAGTAGCAATTGCCATGCTACTACTAATCAGATCACCTTTGACTTGTTTTCAACTAGACATTTGGAATCAGATTAAAAACAAAGAACAAATGCCTTGTTTCAGAAACACACAATGTATAAAATATTTTGTTTTGTTGCCAATTGTGTCAAGCACGGAGTGGGGATAGGAAACTTTCCAGCCTTCTAATAATAATGGCACTTGCTTTGAGCCCTAAAATAAGAAAATAGTACTGCCTTTTTTATGGAGGAATAAAATATTCATTTCCACCACACCATGCCCCCTTCCATTTTATCATCCATATGGTATTAGGTTGGCCAGTAGATTGCTAAATCTTGTTCCAGGTATGATACACTTCCATAGCACTTTTGCAAAATGGCATTAAGCATGTGTGTATATATCTTTAAGTCTTAAGTAGAGCACTGCCATTTTCCTTATTGGGACCTACTTCTTCTCCCCACTGCTCCATTGAAAGTACATGCTAATTAACTGTATTCTCTATGCGTGAGAGAAATTTTACATTTGGTTAACACTATTTGTACCACCATCCTTTTGATTGCACAACATCTGTGACTTAATATTTACGAAGGAAAACTATGGTTATAACCCTCTTATGTCTTGAATGTCCAGTACCATCACAGTCGCTCCCCTTTTTAACAAAAAAAAAAAAAAAAAAAAAAAATCATTTTAAAAAAAAAAAAAAAAAAAAAAAAAAAATTCATATTGGTTTGTTTTGTACACTTAACCCAAAGGATTGTTTGATGCTAACACAGAGTATCTACAGTGGATAACTGTTGTACAGTTTTTATATTTTGATGAAGGCTTCCAATTTTAGGTATACATTGATAATAGTAAAAGTCTGCCAACCTTCTCACTTGCCAACTGGTCACAGTAGAGAAAACATCAGTTCTAACACTAATTCCAATCTACTTGCTCTCATAAAGTATGTCTACACAGCCAAAGCTGTGCATGGGCTAGCCTACTCAAGCTTGCTTGAATATAGCTAGCACAGTAATAACAGTGTACACAGCGTGGGTCTGCGCACAGTTGGTACAAGCCTGGCACAGACCCTGGGCACATATTTGGCTCTCTAGCCTGCGTTGAAGCATGCGCTGCACTGTTTTCACTATTATTGTTAGTTGGATTCAAGGTTGCTCGGGTAGGTTAGCCCATATATAGTTTTGCTGTGTAGACAGGCACATACAACCACAAAGGTTAGAAGGGCTAAAAAATTGGTGGTAGTAAACTGCAAACAAATGGTGTGCGTATTTGTGTACACATACAAAACTACAGCCGGAGTGTGTTTGTCAACTCTGATTCACTGAAATAACAGCATGCTGTAGGAATACAGTTTAGGGGTTAACCAGAGGGCCATGAGCCTGCTTGCCTGCACACAAGCTGAAGTCAAAAGTTCTGAAGGTCTCTGGTTGTGTATATGAACTTTTGTCTAAAGTAGCCACAAAAAAGAAAAAAAGTAGTTGTCCCCTATGAATGTCAAACACAATATTAGGGTAAAATTAATCAACTCCCATCCAAATTTGCCTTGACTAACTTGAAAATATGCTGTAATTTTACTATAGAATGTATATAGGAGTCTTTCTTCCTCTTTTTTCCTTTCTCCCTCTTGCCATATATGTAGTATGTGCAACAACACAGTCTACTGTACAAGTGTTCAGAGTCTATAACACAAGTTCTTTGTGTCCACAGTTTAATAAAATATTTGCTTAAAATACAACTTTGTCCTAAAGTGTACTTTGGGTTGATCTTGCAGCATACAAGATCCTAAGCTAGAAAGAAATTTGCTGTAGTCAATAAATAGCAAATTTATTCAGCTGCTTAGTTGCACCAGTATCAAGATATTAATTATTGTACTGTTTTTATGTTCTCAATCTTATAGAGCACAAACTCACATTTTAAAAATAAAATTTAGCTTTTAACAGGATATAACATCATGGGGTATTTTATTGGGAGAGGGAACTGAAACAAATGAGAGATTCAGCTTTAAAAGACTGCTGCTATGTAAACATAATATTTTTCAGATATATAATAAAAATAGTGAACTATATATCAAAATACAGATTCGTAGAATTATGTGGCAAGAACTATAGGTATTCTATAAATATCCTTAGTACTTTAAAAGAAATATTTGGATAAATATGTATTTGCCCAATAGATGGGAGCAGCTCTAAAATTTTTAATGCTGAATTCTTGAGTAAATACACATTTGATTCCTGATTAAAGTATTTGTTTTTAAAAACAGCCTTTTGAAGTTAAGGTGAACAAAATCTATTTAAATAACCATCAAAAGTAGAAATCTGCAGTTATGCCAAGTCCTGTGTTCAGGGCTAATGCCCCAAGGGGAAACAGGGAAGGTATTAAGAATGAATTTAAAAATATTCCTAATATTGAATCTGAAATTCAGTCTAAAAGAAAACTAGTCCTGTTCTGACAGTTATGGGAAGGTTTTGTTAATCCTTCCTTTTATGTTTTTTATATATATATTTACAATCTGAAATAATGTGTAAGAGAGTAACTGAAGTGGGGATATAGCATATTCTATCATGGCTAAATATTGTCATTTCTTTGGTACACAGCAAGTTTTGTCATTAAAGCTTGTCATATTGTCATATTTTTCCTTTTAAGGGACACATTTTAGTTTTTCCTTTTGATCTTGAAGAATTATTTCAGAAGCAAATCCTTCTGTGTGTGCTATTTGTTTTCTTTCTTGCCTAACCTCTCCTTTCTTCTGTAGATCATTGCTGTTGTGTCTCCCACTATTTTAATTCTTTGCTTTCCATTTTATAACTTGTCTAGAGCCTAGAAGAGGAAATAACGTCAATTTTATTTAGTAAAGAGGGCTTTTCCACTAGCATGAAATCTACCTTCACTTCATCCACCGCATGGACAGCAGAGGGCACTGTTGTGAAAGATAATGTACCTTCTGAAATGCTTTCTGCCTCACCCTTCTTACAACTGCCTGAGGTGCTTTTTTGCTTTATTTCCCCGCTATAATGTCAACATATACAGAAATGGGTATTCACTAACATGTCAGATAAAATTTGATGCATACATTTTTATCATCTAGTAATTAAACGGGATGCCCTATTTGATGCCATGTGTCCCTAAGAAAATATGTATATTATAATATTTTATATAAAAGACAATAAATATAGAGGAGAAATAGATTAACCACAAATACAAACTAGGTTACGTTTAATGTTAAAATTTAGACATAGACCCACAAAACCAAAAATCTGCACGAAGGTAACCTTTTATTCAATTCCATTGTGTCAAAGCAGTTCAGCAAATCTTAACTTCTATTAGGGTGAGGGAGTATCACTTGGTAAACTGGAGGCTTAATCCTCTATTCTTTGCATTTGTAAAATATCACTTGACTCCCATTTTTGATTCCCCGGGAGAGCTGGATCAGGCCCTGTACATACTGCAGTTGGTAAACAAAACAGGATTAAGTCACAGATGGTGTGCTGGTTTTAATGATATTTTTGCTTTTGTGCATTTGATCCTGAACATTGCTTTAGTGTATTTTTTGTTTCATTTTCATGGCTATCTAAATCTGATAATTCTTTTCACATAGTATGACAATACATGCATACCCATCACAAATTGTTTTGTTATGGCACAAATGCTAATAGAATTTCTTTAATCTCACATTTTGGGTTATCCAAATGAGATTTTAATAGGGTCTTCTTGGTAATCTTGAAACATGGTCCCTTTGACATTCTCACATCAGAGTATTCTAAAAGTTCTCGTTGTGATATTCTATTGCAATTTATAAAATTATTGAAAGGATCTGCCAAATTCCTTAAAGCAACAGACCAAATAAAGTCCAGTCATCAAAACATTTATAAATGCAAGACGTACGTGTGTGTGTGTGTGTGTGTGTGTGTGTGTGTGTGTGAGAGAGAGAGAGAGAGGGATAAACTGACACATTGGAATAGTGCGTGAAGACTTTTTTCTTTAAGTTTTGCTTGATGACTGATTTAACTATTTTTGCAGTAAATAATTGATTGCCCCAGTAGGAAGCAGCCTTGGCTGATGTTTATGCTTCTGTTCCAAATCTTTTTGGTAAAGATCTTGCATGATTCCAATGGTATCCAAACCCTTAAATAGGTATTTTACAAACTAGATTAAAGAATTGCTTGTAGAAAAGAAACAACTGTAAATTCTGTATGGATCTTGAATCAAACAGTTTATACACACAGAGTTTTCAGAATGCATACATTTTAAAACTCTTTTTAGGCAAACAGTACTGTGTCATCAATAAGAGTAATGAAAGAGTGTCTGCATGTTTTGTCTATGAGATGTTAAATGTGTGCGTCATCTGGTGTTTAAAACACGTATTGATTTGTGTCCTCTGGTTGCTTTTTGTTTCACAGAAACTTCCTTCCAGAGCAGAAGGGCCTTGCACTGGAGCCAGCGATGCTGATAAGGTTCTACTGATTTTGCCATAGTTAACTCGGGTCTGACATTTCTGATCCACCTTCATTCTTTCTTTCCTTTTTTCAGTTAACCATCACAGTCACCTTTGTTCTCTACATGACATGAACCAGCCATCAGTTCATTTTGTTTTCATCATTTTGATTTATTCATACACTGTACTTTTGTTTTTCTTCATCCGTGTTTTTTGTGCAGAGTTCACATGAGACTCTGAACGTAGTGGAAGAGAAGAAACAGGCAGAGGTGGGGATAGAAGAGACTGTAGTCATAGACGAAATCAACAGAGGGAAAATGCAAGCTGTCTCTGATGCTGGGGAGACCCATAAGGTGGAACATGTGTCAAAAAAGGACTCTTCTTCATTGTCATCAGATAGCAGCAGTAGCAGCAGTAGTGAGAGTGAGGATGAAGTGGTGGGAGAGTATCAGCCCCATCACAGGGCGACTGAGGACATCATAAGGGAAGAACAAGAAGAAAATGAAGATGCCAAAAGAATGGAGGAGTGTGCAACAAAAATAATACAGAGTGTGGAAACTGTACAAGAAGGCAGTAAAGTAAGAGTTGAGCACACGCAAGTTACAGCAAAGGCTTTGGCCCAGGAAAATGCAGTTGCCATTAAAACTGCAGAGACGAATGTAATGGAAGAGGGGAAGCAAGACTTGAGAGCAGAAGATGAGGAAGAACAGCTCAGAATAAACGGAGACGTGTCTCATGTTGACATTGATGTTGTGCCACAAATAATTTGTTGTTCTGAGGTAAATGGTATCACAGCTTGAGAACTAGATTATATAGAGATGTTACGTTCCTTGGGGTGGAAATATACCTGCCTTTCTTCTTCTATTCTGCCAGCTCTTCAGGTGTTCACCAAGATTCAAATCTTATGGAAGGGGGATACCACTGATGAGCAGTGAAACTCTGCCTACTTCAGTCATGGTTTCTAGCTTTTTGCTGGAATGAATAGGAATTGCCCAGTAAAGCAAACCTTTCTATGACTGTACCATCTCCTTTTTTCCTTACTACATAATTTTTACTTTTATTTGAATGTCTTTAATGTTTTCAAGTCTTGTCTTGTCTGTTTTGTTGGCTGTTTTTGACACACCCATGACTTGTAGGTGTAGTTGGAAAGTTATTTAAATTATATATGCTAAAAACAATTTTTCACAGCTTTTTTCAGTTTTTTTTTTTTTTCTTTTCACAGATTTTTCTTTCTTTAAATCTTTTTATTATGAAAGCAGTGCCTGGAATCTATATTGATACAAATTGCTGGGAGTGGTAAGAGCACCTACAGTTAAGGCAGGTTAGGCAGTAAGGGGATGGCACATCTATCGTTGCTTTATAGCAGCCTCCTCTAGTACCAGTAGATACTTGTGGAAGCATGAATTGGCTCCAGAAGGAATCATGGCCATCTGTTTTAGCACAGAAACAGGTTTAATGGGGTTAATCATTAGATGGGCCTTTGAGGAAGGAGGAGTAAACTGGAATGTAGAGGACCATGTACAGATGGTAAACTCTGTGAAGCTTTGGCCACTGGAGAATTCTTTTTGTGGTGTCACCCTTCAGTCATTTAAGGTTTTTCCTCATTGTACTCGGCTCCAGTTGAAGACCAGACCACCTTATTTTCCTCTTTTATGTGAATAGCCACAATTGTTCCTGTGGTTGAGAACGTGAGTAAACTAGCTTCTCCAAGGTTATGTTGGGCTCCACACATGCTTTCTAAGAATATAAGAAAAACAGGCCAGATCTTTAAGGGTATTAAGGCACTTAAAGATGCACATAGATGCTTAGTGGGACTTTCAGAAGCAGCTTGGTGCCTAACTCCCATTGATTTCAATGAGAGTTAGGAATCTAGGTTCTTTTGAAAATCTGACTAGGTGTCTAATCTGGTCCATCATGTCTAAGACCATTATAGTTTCTACTGACTTGCAGAGTTCTAGTTTCATTGCTTTTTGGTTCCCAAGCAGAGAATGCTACTGAAAAAATATCTACTACTACAAGGGCTAAAATGGCTTTTTAAAGTTTGCTTTCAGAGGAGAATAGTTGGTACCTAAACCTGATTCTAGACATGTAGTTTAGCTATATGCTATTTAAAATCCATAGAGAGTAGTTTTGTCTACTCCAGAAGTTGCTTACATTAAAAAATAAAATTAAACTTTAGAAATGCTTAGAAAATATTGCAAGTTTTTATCCACTGTTAGGGATATGTGTCAAATATTGTAGTGACTTCATTCTCCATTTTTAATGCAAGGCTTATTTTATGTAACACTGGCAACATTTGTCTGATGGAAGAAACTGTCGCTGAACTGAGATTCTCCCACTGATGGTCCTTCACACATTTTTAAATAGACATCTGAAGAAGTATTGAAGTGATGATAATCTGGTTTCAGTATCTGCTACTGGCTAAGACATGAAACTTAGATCTCCTATGATTCTTGTAGGGCAGGTATTGATGGGCTGGTGTGCTATTTATTTCATCTTTTATTTTTCTCATAGTGGTTTTTGTGTGTGTATTATGTGGGAGACATTCTTAATATATATTCTATCACTACTGTATTTTGTGTTTTTGTTCTATTTCATTTTAGCCCACTATGCAAATCTTTGTTTTATGTCCCTTGGATTGATTTTATCCTATCTCTTCCACCACAGCCTCCGGTAGTAAAGACCGAGATGGTGACCATTTCAGATGCCACACAGAGAACAGAAATCTCCACCAAGGAAGTCCCAATTGTTCAAACAGAGACCAAAACTATCACATATGAATCTCCTCAGGTACAGGAGCCATGTGATTTGGAATATCATTTATAATGCTGTTTACAAGTTGGCCTTTATGATTAACTCCAAATTTAAGAGATATGATAACATATTAATGTTTTTTTTTTTTTAACAAATCAACACTTCCCTATAGTGGCACTGATTATTTTGTTAGCTTGGAACAATTTTAAAATGACTCTAAGTAGACAGAAGAGCAAGTATCATTCTAACATTAAAGGTTTGGTTTTTTTTTTTTTAAATCAAATAGAATAGGATCTGGTTGTCTAAAAATGTATGGGTTCAGAGATCTGACTTAACTCACCTCTGAGCTCCCCAGAGGGAAGAGTAACTTTGATTATAATTTTGTCCACAAAGGACATGTTAAAATGGTTGATGTGATTCAGCAAAACAGTTAGCTTTTATTCTAGAGTCGTCTAATGTGTATCAAACCTGTGTTTGTCTTCATATGGTCATTCTGTTTGCCAGCAAAACCATGCCGGCAGCATGGGGTACAGAACAGAGACGTTTCTGTTCCAAAAGCACTCTTCCACTTGAACTAAAGGAGAATTATGTAGGTATTAGTAGTGAATGTTGCATTAACTGTGTTTTGTTAAGCCAGAAGTTTTAAATCCTTAGGCATGAAAATGTACTTTTGTTTTTCTTTTCCCAACTGTCTACAGTTTGATGGCAGTGCAGGTGGTGATGCTGGTGTGCTGTTGAGTGCACAGACTATAACGTCTGAATCAGTTTCTACAACTACAACCACACACATCACTAAGGTAAAACTGACAACTTCTCTGTGCATAAAAAATAGCCCTGTCAAAATGTACATTGGTTCCTTCAAAATGATTACTCCTCACAAATCACTGAACAAATTTGATATTTAAAATGGATCATGCCATTCCCAGTTCTGGGCTAAAATTGACTTCCCTAAACCAAGTCTTAGTGCAATATCACAGATGAAATCAGGAGGGAGAACTGGGGAAGAGAGAGAGAATATAATCAGAGTTTGCAGTACCTGCAGCTGGTGTTACTTCTGGCTTTTGTGAGTTTTGGGGACACAGCCTTTACTGACTCTGTTCATCTCACTACTTGATTATCTTTGCTGGGGGTTCTGCCAGAGGAAGGGGTAATTAATGTGACTGAGCTCTGGAGAAGCCCCACTAATGGAGTGAGCTCAGGGGGATATGCTGAAACAACTTATTTCCTGGCTTCATTCCTCTTTACTCCATCCTCTTAGGACTGCATTGATCAGTTTTTTGTTACCTTTCTAAGCAGATTCTGCTACTGTGGACTTTGTGCCTTGGATTGCTTTAGAAACTGGCATATGCTAGAGCTGAATCAAGTCCTCAATGTTCAGCATTCAGAGAAAGTCAAGAAGCTCAAAGTCAGCAAGAAGTTGGGTCTATTTCCATTTCTGTCCTGTGTGACACTTTTCCAGCTGACAAATGTGTTTTTTCCCTGAATGGTGAATAAACATGTTTTTGTTTTTAAAAGAGACATGCAAACAGAGTAACTGAATTCTGATGATTTTCTAATGCAGTTCTAGAAGGAAAAGCCTCAAGAAGGACTCCAGTTCATGGTGAAACACAAAGGAAGCGGGGAAGTGAAAGGTGCACAGTAAATCTTATTTCAGGACAAGAATCTTAATTTTATTAGATAGTAATTCAATGCTCACAGAATTAAGTTCATAATGGAATATCCTAAAGAGAGCAAAATATATTCACAGAATAGGTCAGGAGCGAAGGATGTTGGAAATTGTCCAGTGAAAGTCACCAAAAAATAAACTCTGAACTAAGAATTTAAGACTGTGTCTTATCAGAAAGTTTAGTGAGCAGCTCCTCTTCAACTTCCTGTTGCTTTTAGAATCCTTGAGCACCATCAGAATCTTGAAAAGACATTGTGGAATAAAATACCACCTCTTTTCCAACAGAAAAATTCATTCTCTTATCAAATGTACAGATGGAGCTAAAAAACCTGTTAGAGAATATCCTTTCATTGAAAGGAGCCATATTTTTAAAATTAAATTAGATGATACTTTGTCAGCCAGGAGGTCAAAGAGAAGTATGGAAGAGCAATCTGATAGCAAATTTGCTACATCGCCATTAACAGCCTCTTTATAATTACAGTAAATTGTGGCCTTGGATTCCAAATATTCTAGGCACTTTCCAGTGTTGGCTCAAATTTTGCATCCAGAATTTTTCATTCATCTGTTTGAAATACAGAAACTGCCAAAAGGATTTGAATCTTCCTATGGAATTCTCAAAGGACTCATACTGGAATTATTTCCAGTATTTCTTATAACGCATTTCTCTTGATTAATGCAAAATAAAGTGGCTTAAAATTTTGTACCTCCAATCTCAATGTTGTTCTTGATTGCGGTATGGAAGTCTTTCATAACTGTCTTCAAAGAACAATCGGTTTATAATATTCTCAAAGGAAGAACTTAATCTCATCTCTGGCCAAATACTTATATAAAATACAATTTTATCATCTGTATATCTTCTGTACAAACTGTTTCCCAAAATGCCTTAAGCATTAAATAGACAAAAATGAAGTTTTCATCTGAGATTTGAAATCAGATGGTTAATTGATGAGGCAGAAAGATGCACGAAAGCCGGAACTGCAGACGAGAGAGAATTTTGCACCGATAATGGTGAGATTGTGTGGAGAACAGATGAGCTGAGACACAGTAGTTAAGGAAGTTTCAGGAAACTTGTCACTCACCAAGACCCAAATGATGACAAAGACGACTGGAACCCTGGTCTAACAGCCCCATTTCCATATCTGTCCAAACTTGATCTCAGATAATGTCTTAGGGACTCCTCTGCGGGTTGGTCTTCTTGGGCAACTTCCTCTTGGACATCACTGCTATACAGTTAACCATAAGAAAGAAAGGATGATTTAGATGCAGGACCAAGAATCTAACTGCAACCCTTTCACACCAACTCTGTTCCCACTTATGCACTGGAGAGTAGGAGTAGATGTGCTTTATGATTCTCCCTCCTTACCTATATGGAATCATTTTAAAGATGAATTTCTTTGTTTTGTGCCATCTGTAGACCGTAAAAGGTGGAGTATCAGAAACAAGGATTGAGAAGCGCATTGTCATCACTGGAGATGCAGATATTGACCATGACCAGGTGAGTACATATGCTGCTCCCTTTTACAGTATGCCATCCATATCCCTCTAAGGGCTGTGCAATACAGAAAAGGAAGAGCTCAGCAGAATTCATAGGAGCAAGTAGATTCTGAGAACATCAATTCCATCAACTAACTATGCTATCATATGTATTTCCTGGGAGGATCCTCAGTCTTCTGAGTGATGATGCAAGTTTTGATTAATATTAGGACACCAAGATCTTTCCTTTAATATCAAGAAAACCAATATTTCATAGTGTGTTCCTGTATATTAGCAATAAATTAAGCATAGTACTCAATTGGATTCCTTTGGAATCTTTCACAGATAAATTAATCTTTATTAGCACTAGGTACCCAAAACCAAGCACCATTTTTTCATGCTTACGAGAGAGGGCTTAGACTATTGTTTCACCTGTCCCATACCAAAAAAAGACGTTGAAAAGTGGAGAACAGGAAAATCAGAAAAATGCGATTGTTTGTCCCTTGGGATCGTGATTGCTCAGATTATTTGCATAACTTTTCATTTAAGAGGCGATGGTGACAAAGCTGAAACAAAAAATCATTATCACTGAGTTATTTAGGCAAGAAAGTCTGCACTTTACATGATGTTGCACTGGAGCCAGTTTCTAAGTTGATGGCAGGTATACAAATCAACAAATAAGGATTTAATCTTCACTTCTTAATTATAATGTACTGAGGGCTCTGAGTAAATTTAATTTCAGATTTTGATGTGCCTGTAGTAAGTGTCTCATGACAAGTTCAATCTCTCCTTGAAGCTTGTAATTAAATGCCAGAGCTGTTTAGCATTAGGCATGGGTTTTGTCTACCCTGAAATGTATTTAATACATTTGGGACATCTGAAAAGGTCAGACAATACCTTAGCTTTAATAAAACTCCATTTATTCCCTCCGCTGTTCTCCAAGTCCTCCTCTTATATTGAAATAAACAGTATGAAGCAGAAAAATAAGTTGTAAGTATTGACTACACAGTACATTTTTGTACTAAAGTTCACCATGATATTTAGCTTATGACAAACTATAGATTCCTCTACCATTGACTCTGCAAAGCATCTATGAAGTTCATAATACCAACAAACTTATACCATGGAAATTGATTCCTTCTTGACTGTTGGCATTGTACAGTAACTCCTCACTTAACATTGTAGTTATGTTCCTGAAAAATGTGACTTTAAGTGAAACGATGTCAAGCGAATCCAATTTCCTCAGACAAAAGGCTTTTTTTGCCAGACAAAAGGGATTATATACTTTTTAAACAATTTTAAACAAGCAATTTAATACTACGCTGGGGGGGAGTAGTGTGCACGTGCTGTGTGTTTACAAACATACTGTAGATACAGTACAGTACTATAGTTGGGAGGTGCCCCTGCCTTACCCTACACAGGCACAGCCCACTGGCACTGGAGATGAGGCAGGCAAGGAGGCTGAAGGTGCTGTAGGCTAGGAGAAGCACGTTGTGCAGCAGCGGCAGCTTCCCCTACTCTGTAAGCACGGGGCGGGGCCTCAACCCTCAGCCCGCCCACTCCCCCCTTCCCCCAAGCCCCCATTCTTGCCCTTCCTCTTCTCTCCCCCACCTCCTCCCCCTTTACTTCCCACACTGCGTCCTCGCTCCTCCCCTCCCTTCTAAACACCACAAGCCAGCTGATTGCCACCGGCAGGAGGGAGGGGGGAGGCGCACTGAGTCCTTGCTCCGCCCCCCTCCCTCCTGCCTGGGGCAATCAGCTGGTTTGCGGTGTTTAGGGGGCAGGAGGGAGGGGGGAGGAGTAAGGACTCAGCGTGCAGGCTCCCCCTGCCTCCTGCCCAGGGCAATCAGCTGCCTTGCGGCGTTGGGGAGGCAGGGGAGGGAGGGGGAGCTTGCGCGTCGAGTCCTCGCTCCTCCCTCCTGCCCCCGAAATGCCGCAAGCCAGCTGATTGCTGCGGGGGGGAGGGAGGAGGGGAAAGGGGCTGATCCGCGGGGTCTGGCAAGAGGCACTGGGGTGGGAGGGCGCATAGGGAGGCTGCCAGCTGTGGAGAAAGCAGGCAGCCAAACAACGTAAGAGTGGAGCATTGAACAACTTCAAATGAGTATGTTCCCTAATTGATTAGCAACGTAACAATGAAACAACATTAACCAGGACGACTTAAAGTGAGGAGTTACTGTACATCACTGCTGTAGAGGATGAGGAAGTTGTCAAACATGATTGGGAACCAGGGGGGCTGCAGCTGAGATATTTACTCTGAGTGATTGGACTTCAATGTTCTACCAAAGTGAGGTATAGGAAGCCAGACCTGTTCTCCTAAGACACTAGTTCTCCACAAGGGATACGCGTACCACAGGGGTACGTGTGCACAGAGGTCTTTCACGGGGTACATCAACTCATCTCGATATTTGCCTGGTTTTACAACAGGCTACATAAAAAGCATTAGCGAAATCAGTACAAACTAACATTTCATACAGAAAATTACTTGTTTATACTGCGCTATATACTATACACTGAAATGTAAGTACAATATTTATATTCCAATTTATTTATTTTATAATTATGTGGTAAAAATGAGAAAGTAAGCAATTTTTCAGTAATAGTGTGCAAAAGATTAACTTTTGTATTTTTATGTCCGATTTTTGTAAGCAAGAAGTTTTTAAGTGAGGTGAAACTTGGGGTACACAAGACCAATCAGACTCCTGAAAGGGGTACAGTAGTCTGGAAAGGTTGAGAGCCACTGGCCTGAGGGGTACACTTGAGTGGGACTAAAGGGATCTAAGGTGTAGTTTGCCCTGTTGCCAGGACAATCACCTAAAACATTTTATAAGTATCATATGCCCATCATATACTGATGTGAGCATCAGCACCTTCGTGTCAACTGTTGTAAATGGGCAACGTCCACCTTGATTGCATTGGCCTCGTTAGCACTGCAAAAGTAATTTTCCCTCTTTTGATATTGACCCCTTCTTGTCAACTGTTGAGAATAGACCACTTACACCTTAATTGAATTGGCCTTGTTAGCACTGAACCCCCACTTGGTAAGGCAACTCTCATCTTTTCATGTGCTGTTATATTTATATATATATATACTGCTTACTGTATTTTTCACTGCATGCATCTGATGAAGTGGGTTTTAGCCCAGGAAAGCTTATGCCCAAATAAATTTGTTAGTCTCTAAGGTGCCACAAGAACTCCTCGTTGCTTTTGCTGATACTGACTAACACGGCTATCACTCTGAAACCTGTCATAATATTTTGTGTCAAGGTACTGTTCCTGTATCAGTGCAAACTTTGACTCTCACGGGCTCCCAAAGGAAAACTGTTAGAGGTGCCAAAAGCAAGTTGAGCCATGTCATTAACATGACTAGGAACCAAGGGGCTGCAGGCCAGAGATCCACTCTGAGTGATTGGACTTCAAGATTCCACCAAAGTGAGGTGTAGGAAGCCAGGCCTGTTCCCTAAGGAGTACACTCAGAGGGATTAAAGGGATCTAAGGTGTCGTTTGCTTCGCCCAGTAGCCACGACAATCACCTAAACAGGCTGGCCCCTTAAATACTACTACATGGTGCTGCTTAAAATGCAAACTAGTAATAAAATTGTCAGGTTTTAGAGATGACAGCAAGCACCAAGCTGTACTAATGAAGCATTCCCTTTTGGGTCCACAAGTTTTCTTAATAAGACTCCGTACTCTTTATCCTTAATCAGTGCATCTCCTTTCTAACCTTGGCATTCTTTCTTGACCTTCCAATTTCCCTTCACAGTTCTGTTTATTTCCTCTCCCCCCATTATCCTATTAGTTCAAGAAATGGCACTCTTCAACCCCCTGCGCTCCAAGCTAAGAATATTATTTTGCTGCACCCTGTATTCTTTTTAGGGTTCAGTATAGTTTGTTAGGCTGTTTTGTCATTTAAAGCTGTATATGGATTTATTACTGTTATGAAACGGTATCTCCCACTCTTGTCTCCTACTTGGTTCTTTGGCATCTTCCCTTGGTTCACTCACTGCAGCTCCATAGCAACACAGCTCCGTCAGGTAGGACATCATTGCCCATGACTCTTGACTGAGATCAAGTGTGGCATGTAGATTCCAAAAACTCTTTTGCACGGTGTATGTTTCCTTTGAGGTTGCAGGTGCATTTCTCCTCTGAAACTGAGTGAGTGCAAGTCGAGACTGAGTAACTGCAAGGCTCACCTGCAGCAGTACATCTCTTAATAAAACAAGATATATTAAAAACAGAGAAAACAGAGTCAAAAGAAACCATTTACTTAACATCTAGAATTAAGTTTCACCTTAGCTAAACTAATTAAGGTACTTTTAGCTTAGTTACAGAAAAAAGAGAGGTTTCAGAGTGTTAGCAGTGTTAGTCTGTATCAGCAAAAAGAACGAGGAGAAATCCAGAGACAGCAAAGCACATCTCACTACAGTTTCACTTGTTTTTCACGCCTTTGGTATTTGGAATTCATTACCATATTACGTAAGGATCACCTTCCCAAAAGGTATTTTCCATCAGACCCGACCCCATTTCACTTGGAGTCTCCCTTTTTCATAAGCCGTGTACACATATGGCACTTTCATGGCTTGGTATGCGAGTTTCTGCCTAATCCATCAAGTTAATTTGGTCTTTGTTGAGACTATCCATTGTTCTTGGGCAAAAGTAGTTCAGTGTGTCTGAGAGCAGCTTTTCTTAATTTAATACACACCTTCCTTGTCCCTTAGTTAGGATATATCAATTTGTTGACAAACTACATTGTTTGTCTGTTACTTTAAAACACCTTGCATGAAGGAGTGAGAGTAATATGGCCTTCTAATATCAGAGGGGTAGCCGTGTTAGTCTGGATCTGTAAAAAGTAACAAAGAGTCCTGTGGCACCTTAAAGACTAACCAATGTATTGGAGCATAAGCTTTCGTGGGTGAATGCCCACTTCGTCAGACGCATGGCCTTCTAGATTTCATTTAACATCACTTGATACTATCTGCTTCCTTTGTTGCATGCTATCCCACTTCAAATTGTTTTCCCCCTAACGTAATGCTAAATGAAATCAGTCAGTTTGGGATTAATTTCACCCATTTCTTCCTCTCCATGAACGTAAATCACTGGTACTGTGGCAGTGTTTTTCCAAGATTATGGGGAGGTGAGGACCCTCAAACCAGGAAAATTTGATAAACTAAAGGAAATGTATTTTAATAGTTTCAGTATTCCTGTAAATTAAAGGTGGGGGGTAAGATTTTGTGGAAAGGAATGTATGGGTGTTGATAACAAGTGTGGTCCAGTTACCATATGATAAAACTTCAAGGAGGACCCCGAAAGAAGCTTGTTTTTTAGCACTGTGTACATCCCCACTTTATTCTGCAAAACCTCTTCCAACAGTCAAGAACTGATAATTTTCTGTGACTATTTACTTTTTGAAGCCTTGCTAAAATATTAATGCCTTTCTTGCAGAATTACTGTATACTGTGTACCCAGAAACTTCTAACTTGAAGCTCTTTGAATGGGGATAGGAGGAAGTACTCCCAGTGTATCACTACCAAGGGATTTCCCTGCTGGTTTTCCCAGTGTACCTACAGCTAAAGACATATGTCATGGTGACTGTCCTGTCATGCTGGCTTTCCAGTGTGAATATTGATGTAAAGTACAGACCCAATTTAGGTTTGCTGCATTCAAAGTGTTCCCTAGTTAAAAACTATTTTTGGAATTTAGTAAGTGCCCCTGATTATCTTTTTTGTACACTTGAATTTTCCCTTTTATCTAATGGTTTGGGACTCTCCAATACGAGAGTGAAGGCCATTAAGGGATGGCAAATAAGGAAATAATCACTAATGAATCTAAGCAATTAGTACTCAAATGAAACAGAACAATACTAGAAATTTCACACCTGAAAATATTATTTTTCACAAAGAAACCAATACAGGAGTATAACCTCATTGTCTACTCTCTGTAATCTTTGGAGATGATCTGCAAAATCATATCACAAATTTCAGAAGTGGGGAAATTATTATATGTAATATTCCCATATTGTGCATTCTATTAGGCAAACATGTGAGTCTGCTTTCTATTGCTAGTCTGCAGCAGGTCAAAAGCTTACAGTCTTTCATTTCCTTATTCTTCTGCTCTCAATCTTTCCTTTCCTCAGAAGCATGAAATCATCACTTCAAGATCACTTTCACCAACTTCCCTTTCACTTCCAGAGTCACAAACAATTCCTCTCAGTTAGAATCAAGTCTAAAATGGCAGCTCCCCGGGTTATTTCCTCCACCTTCTGAAACAAGAAGTTGTCCCTATTACATTCCAATAATGTGTTTTTTTTCCATATTACATTTCCAACAGATATCTGGGTAATTAAAGTCCCCCATTACTACCAGATCTTGTGTGTTGGATGTTTCTGTTGATCTAGAAATGCCTCATCCCCTGCCTCCTCCTGATATGGTGGTCTATATGCTCTACCATGATGTTGCTCCTGTTTTTTCCCCTTCCTCAGTGTGGGGGAAAGGATTAGATGAACCCTCAAGGTCCCTTTCAGCCCTGCACTTGAATGATTCTCTGAACCAGCATATAAATCTGTTAGATTGATAGAGGGTATTTTTTTATCTAGTTTCCAGCATTGGACAAAAAAGGAGGGGTTTCCTATTCAGTTTCCTTTCCTGAGCCCCTTTAGACTCAGGAGGTTTAGTCCTGTATAACTGTGATATTAAATGGTATCATAATGTGTTGTCATTAGCCCACCACTCCAGTGCAGTTTTTAATTTCACTCTGCCATTGCTCAACTAAATCTTTCCAATATGTTTGTAGGCACTGGCACAGGCAATCAAAGAAGCCAAAGAGCAGCACCCTGACATGTCTGTCACGAGGGTAGTGGTGCATAAAGAAACTGAACTTGCTGAGGAAGGGGAGGAGTAAGGTCAAGGTAAGGAAGCCTGCAACATCAAGCAAAATAGTACAACTAGGCCTGAGATATAAGGCCATCTTCACTGCTCTTTATTCCTCACAATTGCCCTTTACATACAGTATAGTTTGAAAAGTTGCTTCATCTTTCTTTAATACACCCATACTTGAATTTTGTAATAGATGCTTTTTTTAAAAAGCATACACTTATCTATAGTGTGTGTCACTGAAAACTGGCACATTGGAGCAGTCATTTATAATCTCAAGTGTACTGTGCAGTTTTATCTAAAATCCAATCTGAAACTCATTCTCAATTTTAATTTCAAGTTTACTATAAAAGATATCCACCGATTTTGTCACAAAGTCCTGTTATGGCATTTACTCTGACATCCCATCATGTTACCTTAGTACGTTGCAGGAAACACAACTCAGGCAAAGTCTGCAAAGTATGAAATATGAAGCAAACTCCCTACTCACACTTATCATACCTGCCTTATGTTTAGGGTTCCGTTGTTTGAATAGTTACTGTATTGGTATGGAGACCATGTACAGGTCCTGCAGTCGTGAAGGGGTTTTACTCTCTGTTCCTGAATCAGATGCAGTCAATTATTTCGCCATCTTAACATTCTGAAGTGGTTAACCTTTTCTCCCAATCCCAGGAAGGAATTAAATTAAGTTTTGTAGCCTGATCAATTATTGCAATTATAAAATAATTTATTGGGGTGCAACATGCACTTGTCACAGATAACGGGTTCTTTATTTAGGCAGCTGCTTAGAATTAATTAAGGAGATTAAATTGGTAAAACACAAACTTTGAGCTTTAGTTAATACAAACAACTATAATTGGAATTATAGAAGAATGAATTATGTCAGTATAAAAATAAGACAAGTGCAGGAAAGTGGTTTCCTGTGTTGTTCATACTTACTTACAACTTCCTGGAGACCATTAGTGACAAAGATAGGGAAAAAAGTAAGGGGCGCATATCCGGAAATTGGTCCCAGATCAACCAATGTGCTGTTCTACAACTGGACGCTCCCAGGGAAGCAAGGAAAGTTCCAAATCTTTAATCCCCTTAGGTTGTTCGGCTGACACGGACATAACCATCATTAGCCCACCTTTTCTTACATGGGTCAGCAACGTTAGCCCACCTTTTTCCATATGGTTCATTCAGTTAACTATATTTATACTTCCAGTAACTGCAATTTACGACAGTTAATCATGCATCAATATAATCTGCCTAGCAACAAAATTTATAAAATGTCTCCAAATTCCTTATATTAACATTTCAAAGCTTGCAGTGTGCCTGTTAACTAGGGATCAATTCTTTGTTCTCTCATCATGAGCAGGCAAAAATAGGCAACCCAGGGTCACCCCCTACATCCTAGTTTGTCAGACCACAAACAACTATCTGTAAGCCTCACATAGGATATAATCCTAACAACCCTATTATTTCTGTTTTCCTACTTGCTGTTACAGCTTCAATAACTTCCATTATTATTCCTATAAGCACGCTTGGAAAATAAATTATATTTTACCCAAAACTATAAACAATCCAAGAACAGGTCAGGGGTCAACAATTTGGAGGCTAAAGTATTTAAGCTGCTTATCAGTTGAGTGAAGTATTTTAAGAAATCCTGATCTGTTATGTCCTCATTTCAGAATGTCTCTGTAGATGGGAAATTACTGTATATCCTGGTGTTAGGACATTTGGGATTAGAGTATGTTCCTATAGTGGTAACAAAACTTGGAAAAATTCACATCCTCGTTGAATTTTTAAAACTAGAAAATCTATTCCTACTGTGATAAAAGAACTAAATGACCAGTAGCACTATGGGCCAAAAGCAGAAGTTACTGTTTTAAAAGTGAGAATGTTTTATTCTTACATTCTCCCTATTTACCCAGGGGTTGTCTAGTGTTAATAGTGAAATAATGGGCAATTTAAAACAGTAGCTATATTAGATTCTTTCAATTTCATTTAGTCATACTGACTGTTGTTGGCTACATATCGGATTGATTGAAGAATGGAATAAATAGAATGCTTTCTTTATTTTGATTGAATTTCATAGTGTCATAATAACCTATATAATATCTTACTGGATGCTCTGATGTTTTAATTTACAGTCCCAACATGTTTTTGTGCCATTCAAAATACATGGGAGGTACGAGATGAAATGTGGTACTATCTGTTCTGTTCTTGTTAATTAAGCAGTGAAGCAATGTGGGCCAGGACCAGGTGGATTAGTCAATTAATCCTGGGAAAAGATGAGGGCCGTTTACACCACTCAGTAAATAATTCCTCATAAATGGTCTTGATCGAGGCCAGAATTGCATAAGAGATAACCAGCTTATTGTCATAAGGGCTGGAGAGGGACATTTTGTCATCACTGTTGCTTCAGAGCATTGTGAGTAGGAGGAGCTAGTATAGGCAATTAAATGTTAGTATTGATGTACTGAGAATTTCTAGGCAATTAGTTGCTAATACAGTGCCTCAGCAGAATTGTTTGAGTTTCTAATGCTATACTTATATGTACCTATAAAAGTCTCTTCAGATTTTAGGAGCACTATTCAATTTATTTATCCCCAAGTTTTTCTTTAGCAGATTTTATATATTTTGTTAGATGAATATAATTAATTTTACTACAAATTTAGGCATTTGGGATGTTAGTTGCCTTCACAGAAACTTTATGGATAAGATTCTGTTCTCCCACATTGTTACCTGATGTTTTCAGAACCCACAGCAGGGGCAGCTTAACTATTTCAATCCAGGCAGTGTCAGGAATAAATCAATAGGAACACAGCAATTCTGTTGATAAGAGAGCACGCTTATTTGCATGAATCTTCTCTAAAACTGCAGTTTATTAGATTTAAGTATACACAGACATAAGCAATAGGTTTAGAACATCCCAGATATTTACCTAACGTCTGCAATGGTATTAAGTAATTAACAACAGGTTTGCGGTGGCCAGTTGCTCACCCACCAGGGAGAAAAGGTGGCAGGAAAAAAGGTGCTCAGTGTTCATATTTGTAAAGGCAGACAGTACATGTGTAGTGTCAGTCCATTTCCTAATGTATAGAGATGTCCATGTCACAAAAACCACCAACATACTTGGCAGCAGAAATGCTAGAATGAGCTCTGAATTGAATGTGCTGTCTCATCAATTCTATGTCAGGGTTGAGACACCGTGGCAGACTGGGGTGCAGGAAGGTTGAGTTTCTTCTGCCATACTGGATGATTTAATAGGACTGTAATTTTCCTGCTGTTAATGTGATATCTTTCGGTAGCTCTAAATTCAGTTCAGAGGAAAAGCTATTGATTGGGCTGGTCAAACAGTAACAGAACAGATCTAAAAATTGGTATCAGTTTGTATTTATATTTATTTCCCTTAGCAGTTAAAGGAAGCCAGCGTAGCATTATTATATTTCTTTTGCATGGAAGTATGCTAGTTTGAATTGCAGTGGCAGTTCTTTGTTGTAGGAATACAGTTTTAATTATCTGGATTTTAACCATATCCTGTCCCCTTTTCGAACTAGGGTGACCAGATGTCCCGATTTTATAGGGACAGTCCTGATTTTTGGGTCTTTCTTACAAGGCTCCTATTACCCCCCACCCCCGTCCCGATTTTTCACATTTGCTGTCTGGTCACCCTGTTTCTACCAGTTAACAATAAGAAATGTTGCCTCTTTCAGTTACAAAGAACATAAAAAGGAATATCCTTTCTTAAGCATCTGGAAACTGTTACATTTCTGCTCACAATGAGTCTGTATAGCTAAATCTGAGTAGAACAGTGGTTCTCAACCTATTTACCATTGTAGGCTGCATGTGCAACTGTGTGTTATGTGCGCTTCATTCACGCAATATATATACTATGGCCCTGAGGATGTCACATGGGCCACCTGTGTGCAAGCAGGCCATGGGTTGAGAACCACTGGAATAGAAGGACAAGAGGTGGCAGGTCTTAAACCTCCTACATTGCACAAACAGAGCTCAAAAGGTGAGGTATTCCCCAAGTAATCTGATCCACATGGAAACTAAGATTTTCTAGCTTCTTGTCCAGTTTATCAAGTGATTTTATTGTTTGTTTGTTTTGTGTTGTCTGTGTAGATTTTAAGGTCTTTGGGCAAGGACTGCCTCTTTTGATGTGTTTGAACAGTTTTTAGCAAGTTTTGGGTGTTACCAAAATCCAAGTAATATACCTGGCCAATGAATGACCCAGCATAAGAAGAAAAAGTAACAGTTTTCCTTATGAGAATCTCCTGAGTATGTGTTGTGGGAAGAGGAAATTATCTTGACATGAGGGGGCCGTGCTGTCATTCCACTGAAAGGAAGTGAAGTGATGACCAGCTGTGAAATTGATTTTCATTGAGAAGAGAAAGTAGTAAAATCTTTTGTCAAAATGCAGCATAGAGGAAGAGAAAATCCTGCAAGCAAATCAGCAGAGTCCTTTGTGTCTATTAAGATCACTATGACTTTTGGAAAGGTCTGACATACATTGTGTATGTATAAAACTGTCCCTGGTAGTTACAAAGCAGTGTTTTGCCATGTTTACAGAATGAGTGCAGCAATTCCATCATAGCTGTTGCTCTGAAAGGATTATATGGGTGTCCGATAGGACCAGTGTGAAGGAATTCTAAATAATAGTCCTCTTCCCGGCTTTCATTTGTACATGCTTCCATTCATAGATTTTAATGCCAGAAGGGACTATTAGATCGTCTATTCTGACCTCCTATATTTCACTGGACATTTATTTTACCACTCTACGAGCCCAGTAACTTGTGTTTAACTAAAGCATACCTTGCAGAAAGGCATCCAGTCTTGATTATTGCACCTAGACCAGTCAAGGCTCTGCCCTAGCTATGATTGGAGGAGAATTCTTGATATATACTCTTGCATTTGCTGATAGAGATGCAAAAAACCACACCTGGCTACCCAGAACTTATTCATTGAAAACATAAATTTGTCCAGTAAGTTGTAGAATAGAAATTTCAGCAGACTTTTTAAAAAGAACTATTAAATGTCACAA